GCACCTAGTAGTTGTTCTAGCGTTTCCGCTAACTGTGCAACAGAAATTTGGGGAGTCGCTATTTGGGGCATTAATGTTCAACACAGAAAATCGATTTTTTTCTAATGTGATGTCTTATATTATAAACCGTCCGTTTGGATTTTGAACGGTTTTTCATGAATAACATACTCAAAAATATTCTCAATTAGTATCATAGTAGCAGCCGTATTAATGATGTGCAAAATAACATCGATAACCCCATTCAGATGAACATAACCACAGTTATGTTCATCTTTTTAGTATTGTGCGTTTCTTGCAGAAATATTATAGATGACTTCTTACGAGTAAAATAAAATATATCTCTTCGCTTGTTGGCATCAGACTGGAGACCCTTTACATTCATAGATAGGATTGATAAGTCAGCCATATCTAATAATTAATTGAGTGCTTGTAAAATGTGTGCCTAGCCTTATAAAAGACGGAATTGAAAAGTATGATACATGATTGAAAGAAGGAGATTAAAAATAAAAGGAATGGCTAAGTGCACTCCGATTTGGAATGGGGAGATATGGAATGTGGAGATAATCGGTCGGTCCAAATATCAAAATCTTGATGGAACACACAGCCCCCCACCCCCACCCCAATAAAGTAAATAAACAACCAGCAAAACAAACAAACACTATCATATTGCTTACGCAGATGAGAATTGTAGAATGTCCTGAATAAATGTCAGTGTAGTTAAGAGCAGGTCAAAAACTGCAAACTGGCGAGACGAACAAAATATATCTACTAGTATTTCCGGGCATGAATTGTCTAACCAAAGTGTGAAAATATAGCAATATAGAATAACTTATGGATAACCTGAGATAAACCCAAAATGCGCCCGAACGCGATACTTTCATCAATGTATCATTAATTCATAAAGTAAACAATTATGTCATGTATGCGTTCATAAAATAACCAAGTGTGACAAAAGAGTGTTAGGTGAGGAAAATATAATGCACAATCAGACTAAACACTCAGTTGGCGCTTCATACTTGTGCTTGTCTGGCTTATCAGAAAACATAAAAAGTGTGTGAGAGATAGAGAAAAAAGCGCGCAAAGCTGAAAAACATGAAATGTTTTACAGGTAGACGGGTAGAACCATGTCTCCTCTATATACGCACGTTATACAACTCCAACTTTGAGTGAAGAATAAAATCTGAATACGAAAGAAAAGATAACTACATTGAGAGATGTCCACAATATTTTTCAATATTAAAATTAAAGAGCATTGAAAAATAGAAACGTTGTGAGAACAACAGTAGACATACGATTTCAAGTCATTGTCACAATAAAGTCCTGTGTGCGTTCGTAAAATGTAAAATGCCAGCTTGAAAATGGCTCGAGGTCAAGGTTTACCAAGGACAACGTCCACATTGTCGAATGGTTGAAATTTAAACTTCTTCCCGTCCACTGATTCACCATACACTCTACCATTGAAGTACCATGCATTGTTAATGCGTCGGCGTGACTTGAGTCGGTTAATCAGCATCACGTTCGCTCTCGTGACGTCATCTGCTAATTTGAAAGCTTTATTTTCTTTCAGTTGTTTCCTTGCGCTAACTATTCTCATTTTCACTTCTGTGGATATAAGTTGGATTAGCACAGGCTTGGTGATACTTTTGTCTGCGTGATCAATGCGTTGAATCGCCACAATCTCCTCTCTGTTAACAGAAACACCACCTTTCTCTTTGAGCACACGTGAGAAAGTATTAAACAAATCTTCATCTTTGGTTTGTGTAAAATTGAACACTTTGATGATATTTTTTCGCGAGTATTGCTCGTTTTTATTAGCCAGGCGGAATGCTGCACTTGAATGGTGGATTAATTGTTCATAGAGTGCCTTAATTCGGAATTTTCTTTCTACTGATTATTAAGTAATACAGACAGCTTGTCATTTTCAGTTTTTAAGTCGGAAATTTCGCTACGAAGTTTGGCAATTCCGAGTTCATCAATAAGCTCACGTTTTAGTTCAGCCTTGACGCTGTTTCTTATCGACTGTACAGCTGTGTCCACCGCTGAGGTAATTAATTCCTCTAAATCCGACTTTCTCAGCATTTCTGACAAAGCCTGTTGGATATCTGAAAGTTCTTGGGTTACTTCTGCAAGTTCAGACTTTTAGGAGCCATGCTTTTAGTATCAATATCCAAGTTTACACAGCACTGATGAACGTGTCGTCAGGTAGCATTGAGTGATAAGACAGGTGAAACCGCATGTACTGCACGGTCTCACCTTTGACCTGTCTTGATTACAGGTGTGAATATGAAAGCCGTTACAAAGACTTTTATTCATTCTTTTGGAGAAATAATGTTTGAATGTACACGAACTCACATTTGGGGTGTCTTTCAATTCATCAAGTGTTATTCAACCATCACTTTCGGACGTTTTTGGCGAGAGGTCTCACACCTACGTGTGCATCGGACGGATCCAAGGGAGGCAACCATGTTTTTGGAGTTAATATGTATTTGCTGTAAGACAAAGTTTGTTGTGAATAGACATATATTTCGCATCCATAGCTTTCGGCCATAGGAGCAGTGTCCATTTACACTTATCAGAGGGCTACACAAAATGCGTGATCAGAAATAATAGTTGTCAGACTCACATTTTGTGAAGGCCTTGATGGCTGAGTGCGTAATGTAATTGACTGTTTACTGGTGATTAAGCGATTCGGGTTTGAATCTCAGATTGGACTACATCCCCAAAATTGTTTGTAGTTCTGAAAGAAAGCGTTTCCCAAATATAATATATCTGCCTATAAAAAGACCGAATTTGTAACATTTAATAGATTGTATTGTCCAACGTGCAACATCCTTAGTAACTGGTTCTAATCCCAGTTTTGTCATGATTTTGTTTCTTGGTGTGTCTCCCAATACCGATAACCTTGTTAGGCCAAAGTAGTAATCTTCATTTCAGGGTTTCCTCTCTCAACATTCAGACAAGTGTTAAAAAATAAGCGTAAAACCAGTGAAAACCCAGTCACACGTACATTCCGTGCTTTGATATCTCTCGGATATAAATTTGATCGCCTTTTGATGTGAAAAAATGACAACGAGGCAGGTTAATCCCACTCTTGAAAGTCGGCGCCTTCTTCCTAGGTCACTTTGTACAAAACGATCTTATCGCTACAAATGAATTATCGCTGAAGTGAATAAAAACATAAAAATTGTATGACCTCGACCTTTTTTCCCAGGGGCAGCTTGGTACAACGTACAGACCCACTCACTTGGTACAACGTGTTGTTGAGCAGTATTTCAGATTCGTTTCTTGATGTGGTTCATGATCAGTTTCTACATCTTCCCTTGATTGACAGGCTCTTAATGTTTTAGATGCTACTCTACGAAGGCATCCGAAACATTTACCAGTCACCAAATTCATGCGACGTGACAAAATGTATTCCTACGCCTAGAATGTTTATTGACCCGCCTTTTGCATTGTGTAGAATTTTAAATATATATAAAGGAGATTTATCAATTCTGGTACGCACTCCTTTCAGTGAACATGTATTTTCATTATTTGACAGTAATTCTAAACACACGCCAATAATGAGAGTGGCTATCGCACAATCGACTATCATGTGGAAGTTGAAAGGCTTTGTCGCCATGATAATTTGGGAAGCAGATGGGGCGTTAACTTGACCTATTTAGAGAATAACCACCGAGGTACGAGTGATTACGAGAAATTTGCCCGAGTTGCCCTTGGCGGCACTGAACATTATTTTAACGAGGGCATACTTCCCGTAATCACTCGTACCGAGTTGATTATTCTATTTATTACCCATAATGTAATTTAAAAAAAGAAAAACCACGAAATAAAAACCAAGGGAGACAGGAGCCTCAAACAGCCGATTCGTATTCATGCGCGTATTAAACCTAACTACTCCTATTATTTGATGTTAAGTATGAATCAACGTACGCGCTTTTATACATGCAACTGAGCAAGATCGCCATATCGCAATGCCGATACATCACCAAATCGTGTCATCATATCACAATACCTACCGCCCTTGCGCGTTATCACCATATCGCAGTGTCTTGTTAACATTATTTAGAACATGGATTTTTCAGGCTGATAAAGCGATGGCTCAAATCAGAAACCATACATCCAATTCGGTTGCAACAAACATAATACCCGTCTGTATACTCAAAATAGTAGTTTGGGGACAGTGACGTCACATAGCTTAATTTTCTAATGGATTGAAATAAACAAATACAATCTCTTCAAAAAGTTTTAACATACTTATACCTAAAATATCTCAGAATGTAAGGAAACGTGAAATAAGTTAAAATACGTTTACATGTCAATTGATACTGATAATTTCTTTCAACACTAATAAATAAATATTTGATTTTTAAAAGTAATATTTCTCAGAGCAAGATCTACAAGCTAAGTCTTGTACCAAGTGGATGTTGTACCACGAATCATTCAGTGTCTGTTTCCTCTATCTCCTGCATTTAAGTCAAGTCAATTTGACTCTTCCAATGCTTTCATACTAGTCACAAAAAGAAACTGTGCTAAAAGAATGTCAAAGTTTTATGGTAAAGATGTTGAGGACATTTCCAAATTTGATGCATCATGACAGAAGTTATGCCCGGTGCATTTTGATTTGTACTATATCACGTGTTTTCATTTGGTGAACCACTGAGTGGCCTTTGCATGTGTTTATTACAGTGCCACCAGTGGAGCAGGATACGCTCACCATTCCGTGAACATGGTATTTTCCTTTTTGACGGTAATTCATAACGCATGCCAATGCTATAATGACTATCGTACAATCCACGAGGCAGTTTCTTGTGGAAGTGAATTGGCTATTGTCGCCATATTAATTTGTGAAGCTGATCGGGCGTTATCTTGACCTATCGCAGTACACCTGTACATACCTTCTACTATTACGACATAACAACGCAAGGGAACCGATTCTAACGTGGGTTTGTTCCTGAACCAAGCTGATTTTTAACTGATCCTTTCTCTTACAGGTTGTTTATCGTGATTCAAACCAAGACAAAATACAGGAAGGTGACATATTAAAGTTCCACAGACGAATTATTTGTCATTTTGCTGTATACACAGGTACGTACAATTTTCATTAATTGTGCAAAGTTACCTGCATTTGAAAAGGAGTGACTATTGGGATGCGAGGACAAATACTCATGATGTCAATCACTAAATTATCTGGCCCATCATATAGCTGGGTTATTGCTGAGTGCAGCCCTAAACTATAATGAACAACCAGAATAAACAAGTGAAAAATGAGCACGGATCACATACCCCCGCTTCCTACTTTGGGACATGGAAATTACGGAGTGAAGGAGTAAGTCTTGTGAGCTGCTGATCCTTGTATCCTTGTAGACTATATATATAGTCTCACAAGGATCAGCAGCTCACAAGACTCTCCTTGACTCCACCAAACTTTATATGCATTTTAGATAATAGTTTTGCCTTTCACTATTTACATTAATAATTTATGGAAATATTAGTTTTGTGTTTTCCCTGGACACTTGACATAACATTGAACTTGACTGTCTCATGCTGTACATGATGAAGTGGACGCTGATGAAGAGTGTCACTGACTCTCAATGTAGACACAGAAAATACATCACATGTTGCTGACATGAAGGAAATACCTAATCTAGATACAGAAACTACATATTGGTACATTTAACAAGACCGTGAAAAGTGAAGATCACACTTTAAATAATCATATTTGGCATAAGGCAAATCTGTGGGTCATGATTAACTTGTGTATTAAGTTTGGTGAACCTAGCATACAAACTTTAAGAGATATGTTCGGATAATGTTTCGAGATGGAAAGGCGAAATGACAGAATGAACGCTATATACACCTGTTACTTCGTAAGCGGGGGTATAATTATGTTGAGATATTCCTATGGAAGAAGGTCACAGGAAAGTGAGTTTGGACGACAAAGACTTGATCAAGTGGTTTTCTTGTGTGTTGTAGGATGATATACGTCCTGAATAAGCATTCTTTATTTAGCTCGGCAAGACTCGTGTAATCACCCCTAAACACACAAGTTTGATAACCTCTTCATATTGGTCTGAGGCAACTGACAACTACATTCAGCCTACACGGACAAGAAGAACAAGGAGAAGGTTTCCTGCTAGGCGAAAGTGGATCAGACAGATGTTTACGCATCCTGATTTCTTTAACTGACAGGAACCTGAGACTACCGAGGCATCTTCGACTTAACGGGGTGCCTCAAGTTGTTCATGATCTATTTATCAGTTGTATACAATTCATACTAAACGTGACCCCAAAATATAAGGGGACGCAAGCACTGATATTTTCTGACTTGATATGAGAGTGTGAGTTTACGTCTCAACTGGTCTAAAAGCTGACTCCAAACCCAGAACAATTTCACACTGACTACTGTCTCCCTAAATGCTTTCAAATCACGAGCGCATGTGCACTACATGTATGGAAGGCTACTTAAGGCAAGATTCGCAGGTGAGTGTCGCAACACACAAAATGCCACGGCGACACTATTTAACATTAGCTAAAATATGGCAATGTATAGGAATGTTGTCCGGAGAATCCCAGAATCGAGTACAAGTTTCGAGGTTTTTCGAGAGGTCGAAGAACGTAATCTCAAGGCTTGCTGCTCAACACCGTCAGACTGGTGACATTAAAATGAGGAGGGGTCGCGGACGCCATCGAAAGGCTATGCATTGTTGCACTTCGTAACCGGTTCATTACTACGCCAGAACTGAAGCGAGAATGCCATGCTTGAACTGGGATACGACTTTCCTACAGCACACTGTGACACTGTTGTCAACAACGTCTGGGCTGGCTTTTACGTGGATGGCGTCAATTCATGTTCTTTGACGATTCCAGGTTCAGTTACTGATGGTCGCAAACTGTCGACGATGTGGGGGAGAGATACAATCGTAACACTAGGATCATGGAGCATGATTCCTTCGGTGGAAGGAGTGTTATGGTTTGGATCCTACGATCGGAGGACGGATCTTTTCTTGTTCCCGGTAGCCTGACAGGTTGCGTTACGTCAACGAAATCTTGCGCCCCGTTGTTGCTCCGATGTCCAGCAGTAAGACTTCATCTTTCAAGATGATAAAGCAAGACACCATAGGGCTCGTGTTGCGGTTGACTTTGTCAGACAACAAGACATTGTGACACTTCAGTGGCCTGCAGGATCTCAAGACATGTCGCCCATTGAACACTTGTGCGATGGATGGGTAGGAAGTTCGTGCACGGCACCCAGGTTGCGTGTTGCGCTTCAGGATGAGTGAGTGAGTGAGTTAATATTTAACGTCACATCGGCAATATTTCAGCCATATATCGTGACGAGAACATTTGATATTGAAATTAAATATATATATGATATAAAACCTGCCGACGATGGACAGTAAAACAACTAGAATATCACAGATATGTATGTAAAACTAGTAATTAAATCTAAAACGTTTTAACTATAGGGACAACACAATATAAAAATAGGCTATAGATCGCCAACAACTGAAGGTAGATCACCATATACTAGGGTCCATGGGGACTTACAGTACCTTTGCTACCTGCATGGACCCTAGTTGGATTTACACCATCCCTTCAGCCATTGGTGATGGAAGAGAAATCTAGCCATAAATTAAAAGCACACATATTCTACGATTAAAAAAAAGTGGCAAGTTTAAATTTACTTTAAATGTGTTGGGACTTACGTACCCTCTCAGGAGGACAATAATTTTATAATATTTCAACCCCTTTGAGGGTACAGCCACTAACAATCGAAGTTGATAATCTAAACTACCAATTCAGGATGAGTGACAGCAGATTCCTAGGGCAACGATACGCCGCATAATCTCCAGTATGCCCGCGCATGTGTTGCTGCATAAGTGGTCACACTCTATAATGACTTAAATCCTAAGTGTTTCAGATTTGGGGAATATAAAGCCTGGTTCAATAAACAGGGTTACTAGGGTTCCCTTATTTTTGTTCTTCGTATGTTTCAAACCCGTGAAGATCCGGATTAGAATTGATCCTCAGAATGTCGTATCACGTGAGCAACGGGATCTGATTGTCAGACTCTTGACTTGGTTGACGCATGTCATTGTTTCAATTGTATAGAATCGATGCTTATGATGGTGGATTGTCTGTGACTCGATTATTTACACCATCCATCTTATCTCTAAGTTTTACTATGTGTGTGTATAGGGATTTTATCTATGGATTGTTTGATGGATTTTATGTGTCTCGTAGGCCTGTAAAGGCCGGGCAGATGTCTCATATGTGATACAGAAGATTTTATATATTATGTAAACATCGACGTTATAATAAACTCGATTATTTACAGACCGCCGCCATGTATAGCAGGAATATAGCTGAGCGCGACGTTAAACAAGAAACAAACAGACGTACTTTCTCGCTTGATATTGCACTCCTCTATGCATTTGCTTTATTACATGAGAGACAATTAATTTATGAACGTTTCTTTTCGTAATCAGAACTTAATCCTGTAAACATAATTGCGTAGAGAGGTTTGAACAATATTTGACTTAAAACACTGCGTGTCACATATATGTAAAGGCGAGCCAAAAATGCAGGTCTGAAGAAACTATGGATAATTTTTGCTTTTGTGAAACCCACTGACTCTTTCCAAGGCCATGTGTTTGAAGAAATCTATGGATAATTTCAGGTGACGGAATGGTGATACACCGGACAAAGGATAAAGGAGTTGTGGGAGAAAAATTGAGTGATGTGATTCATGGCAGTGCAGTTTCTACATTGATAACAGCCTGGATAAGGAAATGAGGTTTGCAGTTGATCGTTTTCTCTAGTACTAACAATAAGTCATATGAGACAAGTGTCACATAAGTGTAAAACATTACGTGATTTGACCAAACGGTATAGTGTTGTCATGACCAAAGTTCATTGCACAATTCTGGTGCCGAATCGATTTATTCAATGCCTAAAATCCATCAATGTCTTTGTCGGATGAGGACAGAAAGGAGATTCAGTTATGGCAACGAAGCAATCCAGAGAATACGATTTTTAACTTCGTTAAAAGAAATTTATTCTGTATAGGCAACGTTTCGACATAGATTCTAATGTCGTTGTCAATAAAGCTTGACAACGACATTAGAATTATGTTTGTAACGACGCCTATACAGAATAAAGAAGTTGTATATCCATAAAAATAGTCCTCACCCTTCATCTACCCAACTTCTAGAATGCCAATCAAAGAAGTCCATTTTACTAATCTTAAAAAGTAATAGATCTTTAGTTTGAGTGAGTAAAGATTATTGTCCGAAACGCCACGGCGACGAGAACCAGAGTCGTCCCACTACATGGTTTAAACCCTTTACTTCACCCAGCACCTGTGAAGGAAACATATCCTCTTGTCCATCTCTACACTAAATATGTACACACAAGATAGAATAGAACCGAAACAAACTTACAAACTTTCCAAGCAGAAACATATATCACATGAACCATTTTAATTTGACCAAATCAGGTGACGGTACATACTGTGATTATTTTTGTGTATTCCGCACATTCTACATGTACATGTAGTTATATGTCTCTAGCTACCCTTGCCTTGTGCATTCCTCTTTGATTATTTGTTTATTAACACATCCTACTTGTAGTTACATGCCTCTAGCTAACCTAGCTTTATAATATTACGATTTAAACTCCGACATTACTTCTCCGCTGAGGAAAAAGTCAACTTAAAAACAGAACGTTCTGTGTTTTCAGACCCAAAAGTAAGTCTAGGATTGTGGAGAATGCACGCAGCCAACTGGGGAGAGAGATTATCAATTTTGTTCACAAATAACTGCGAACATTTTGCAACCTGGTGTAGATATGGGAAGGCAGAGTGCAGACAGGCGAGTGGTGTAAATATGTTTATTGAGATATTCTGAATATGGACGTGAAAATGGTGCTAGCAGATTCAAATAGAGCAGTTTGTCTGTAGGTTCACCTTGTTGTCCTTAGCCTCAGTAACAAGCATTAAAACAATTGTGAGTTTAATTGAACACATACACTGATTTTGCTTCAAAAAGTCCACCACCTTGAACAGACTGGGGCTGGTTCCTGCA